TTTTGGTGTCGATCATTCGATTTCATCCTGGACACTACAGAAAATGGGCTTAAAGTGTTAAAAACCGAACTTCTCCTTTAAGGAGGTCTTAGAAGTACTCCACCCACTGACATACGACGTCCCCGGTCGAGGCAGCAGCACACCACCCCTAATATAAATAGTGTTGATACTGCTCTGCTTCCCCCTCCTGAGATGCTGGATTGTGGACCAGAATTGCTCCGAAGCCGTACGGAAGTCTTTCTCCATGGGCTCTCCAAACTCTTTCCACGCCCGAGTTTTTGCCTCAGCGACTAGCAAAGCCACCTGCCGCTTTGACTGCCGGTACTCAGCTGCTTCTAGAGTCCCACAGTTCAATAAAGCCTGACTAGCCGCCTCAACAATAGAGGCACGGAACATAGTCCACTCAGATTAGATTAGATTAGATGACCTTTATTGATCTCACAGCGGAGAAATTCACTCGTCACATATTGGTATAGAAGTTACAGAAGGTGCAAACAAAGAGGAAAAAGGTGCATTAAGAATAAACAATATACATACAGTATATCCAGGTATATACAGTATATCACGATAAATAAGGATTGAGGTGCAAGTGTACCTGTATCGCACACAATGAAAAACAAAATAAAAATAAGAAATAAAAATATGTACAATCCGAATGGCTTATATACAGGTGGATTTACTTTTACGTTAAAGTGTAGAATGTTGCACAGTCAATAAATAAAAAACTATAATATAGCTGCACAGTGTTTTTTACAGGAGTTATTGTTGATATAGTGCATTATTATAGAGTCTGGTGGCAGCAGGAATGAATGAGCTGCTGTAGCGCTCCTCCTTACAGACAGGGTGTCTAAGTCTTTGACTAAAGGAGCTGCTCAGCTCCTCTACAGTCTGGTGCAGGGGGTGAGAGGTGTTGTCCATGATGGATGTGAGTTTGGACAGCATCCTCCTTTCTGCCACTTCCTCCACCGAGTCCAGAGGGCAGCCCAGGACAGACTCAATGTCCCCCACCTCCCTCGGAATTTGTTCAAAGCTCTGCCGGAGATGGGAGTTAAAGCTCCTTCTCACGGGGGACTCTGCCAGAGGTTCCCAGCAAACCCTCACAATACATTTGGGCCTACCAGGTCTGACCGGCATCCTCCCCCACCATCAGAGCCAACTCACCACCAGGTAGTGGTCGGGGGAGAGCTCCGCCCCTCTCTTCACCCGAGTGTCCAACACATGTAGCTGCAGGTCAGATGAAACAACAAAGTCGATCACTGAACTACAGCCTAGGGTGTCCTGGTGCCAAGAGCACATAAGGACACCCTTATGCTTGAACATGGTGTTCGTTATGGACAATCCACGACAAGTACAGAAGTCCAACAACAGAACACCACTCGAGTTCAGGTCAGGTGGGGTCATTCCTTCCAACCACGCCTCGCCAAGTCTCACTGTCATTGACCACTTGAGCGTTGAAGTCCCCCAGAAGAACAAGGGAGTCCCCAGAAGGGGCACTCTCCAGTACCCTCTCTAAAGGATGGGTAATCTGAACTGCTGTTTGGCGCATAAGTGCAAACAACAGTCAGAACCCGTCCCCAAAAAAGTCATAATTTATTATTATCTAGAGACTATTAATACCAGGAGGTGAAATGCAGCTCCAGACTAGCTTTGAATGCGATGATGTCATCAGTACTTTTCTGTTCCAGTTGACCCTGTTGTGCAAAAATAATGTCCTGCAGATAATGAATAGATGGTTAACTAGAACTGGAGTTATAG